TCCATCCCACTTGGGGAGTTCACGAGCAGCTGGTGGGTGCTGAGTTACCGGCTGGGACCACCCTCCCAGTGCAGCCACTGGAGCCCACGGGGTCCCAGTGCAGCTCTGGGAGCACCAGCAGCCTGGGAACGGCGGCCCAGAGCAGCAGCAGGCAGTGTTTCTTGTGAAGATGAATTTTTCAAATCTTCACTGAACCAAAAACTTTCAGATCCTCCTTCAGCCCCGGGGTGCTGTGGGGTGCATCGCCCGGGGCCGCGTGAGCGGGCAGGAGGCCGGGGGCAGCGAGGCAACGCAGCTCAGCCCTGAAACTTGCTCCCCTCCCTGTCTGCCCGTGACCTCACCAGCTGGTCTCAAAATCACTACGGTTTCCAGGAACGGTGTCATCGTGGGGACGAGGGATGTTCCCAGTCCCTCCGCGCCGGTGGCTGCAGTATGCAAATCCGCATGGCCCATCTGCGTGCCCAGCGGTTAAAAAAACATTTTAAAAAAATAAATTCAAGTGCTTGGGCGATTGCTCTAAGAATATAAACGTAGGCAGCGTGTCTCATAGATAAATGACGGTGAAAAAAAAACAACTTCCCTGCCTCCAGGGCTGAAATGTCCGTGTGCGTGGAGGGTGTCTGGGTGCTGCTCACCCGGCTTTCCCTGCCAGCCCGTGGGCATGGGCCGCCCCGGGGCTCTGGCTGCCCCCTCGGTTCCAGAGTGACCGTAGCTACAAATGGAGATGGGTGGGGTGGGTCGAGTTCTCCACACGCGTGGTAAAATCTGCTCAGGCAGGTGTGTTCTGGGGAGAGGAGTCCGACTCCCTTCACTGAACTCTCGCTTTTCCAAACAGCAAAATCAGTGGCTTTTCGTTCGTGACCCCCCCTCAACGCTGCCACCCTCAGATGGGGAGCAGGAGCGGTCCCGCAAGGCGAGGGGCAACCTGGGGAACGGGCTTCAAAACAGAAAATATCCCTCCACCCTCCTACGGCTCCCTCCTGGGCCTCTGCCTCGGCTGGGTGTCGGTGCCGGGTTTGTGTCTCAGTCCGGCTGTTTTCCCGCGTCCGAGCGTCCGGGAGGAGCGGAGGGAGCCAGAGCCCTGGGACGGGTGAACGCTGCCGCCTCCACCGCCTCGTGTCCCACGTGCGGACGGTGGCAGGCCCCTTGAGCCGCAAACGCAGACGCTCCTGCCCGTCTCTGTGCTGTTTTTTTTAAGGTTTTATTTGCTGTTTCGGTGCAGGGGAGTTGCTGGTGTGCCATGTGCATTTTTCTAATGATTTTACCCCCGAAAGATGTTGTTTCCCCCCAGCAGCCCTCTCCCCTGCAGGCACCCGTGCCTCGAGCACATTTTACTCACTTCTTTCAACCTCCTTATTATTAAGACAGTTTCAAAATGACAATTTTACACATGACTAGCTTGTCACATTAGTAAGAATATCAACTTCGGGCTGTCAGAGAGAGCGGGGGAAGCGGGTGCCGCACCCCCGCGGTCCCGAGCAGTGTCCCGTTCCGCGATGCTCCCACGGGAAGCGGGACGGTGCCGTGGGCACGGGTGAAACCCTCCCGTGAGGGTGGCTGGCTCCCGGACGGGCTGTGCTGGCCCCGTCACCGCGTGGCATCGCCGCCGCGCCGGCCGGGTTGCCCCGGTAACTGTTGCACGTCAAAGGGAGCAACCGATGAACAGGCTTAAAAAAAGACAAGAAGCCAAACAGCACAAACAAACCAGGTATTTGCTCTGAGGGGTTGTACGGTTTTAATGCCCCGAGCGCATAATTATTTACGAGTAGCTTGCCTTTAATCAAGGGCGGCGTAGGGACCGCGCTTCAGTATAAATACAGCCACAGATCATAAACCCTCGGCAGCAAAGCCAGACAAAACTGATCCCTAATAACTCTGCAGCTGAGCGGGAGGCTCCGGGGCTCGTTGACAGACACGAGTGGCTGCAGAGAACAACCAGATTATGAACGATAAAGCAGTGCTGGGCGCGCTCAGGGCGCTCGGAAATACCGGCCGGTGCTCCAGGGAGGGGCAGCGCCCGCGTCCCCCGCGGTGAGGGTGGGCCCTGGGGACCCACCCGGGCAGGGAGAAGGGGAACTGAGCCCCATGAGCATCCTTAAACACCCAGCCAGGTGCATCCCTTGGTGGAAGCCTCCTGGCGCTCTCTTGGGCTGGCACCACGCACCCCGTGTTTCGGTGACATTATTTTTTTTGAAAACACGAAGCCAATAAGCGCACGTCAGGAGTCTCCTCTGTTTATCTCCTCCTTGTACATCTGTCAGCCCCTCTCCTTCCCCTGCTCAGCACTCCGGTGCCCAACCCGGGGTTGTTGCTCCCGAGGCTTTGCTGGGGCAGCAGCTTTGAAGCCGGCGGGAGTTTTGCCCCAGTGAATATCACAGCAGTTTCCTCTGAGCCTTCGAACCGCAGGGGGAAAAATGATTCTCGTATTTGTTTGTGAATTGCTGTGAAATTCGACCGACTTTGAGGGCACGGGCAGTACCTCAGAGGGCCTTGGGACCATCACCCGCTGTCCCTGGAGAGCTGGGGGGGGCACCAGAAGCCTTCGAGGCAAGGCATCGGCACCTGTGGCACAGGGCGGCATGGCAGGCACAGGGTGGGCTTGGCTGGAAGGAAATGTAAAATAAAAGTGTTAAAAATCACTATTTTCATAATAAATAAATATATATATATATACAATATGTAAAAATACATAATATATATATGTCTAA